TCCACGGAGTGGCACAGCGTTGCTGAAGCCATCAATGTTGTGAATTCTTCAGAGAGATCTGTGGTGGATATAAAAAAAATGGTCCAATTGAGATTCGATCTCTAGACTCCCAGGTGAAAGTCGCGCGCGCTAACCAGTCAGCCAAACAAAGAGTTCCCTTGTACAAATAGCCAGGGTGCATGATAAATCGGGTCACAGTGACAGGACACACACTGTCAAAGAGGCATGACATTCTGTCTCAATCAGTCCCCCTGCTGATATTCTGCATTTCATATTCTGCGCTTCCGGCTGTGTGTGTGTTTGTGCACGCGCACGTGTGTTTGTGTGAGTGTACGCGCATGTGTGTACGCATGCATGTGTGCGTGTAGGGGGTCTTATTCTGTGTGAAAACGAAGCGGAACAAGTGATAATGCTGCAGGATTTCATAATTTTATCCTTCTCAGCAGCAACACTGCCAGGTGCTCTCCATGTCCAAAATGTGCATAAGCCAGGTCCTTAGTCTACTTAAAGTTGCGCACATTTTCCCGTTAAGTTTTCTTTCATAAATCCCAAAGTTTGCGTGGAAAGTTGCTTACGCAGTTTTCCGAACCCATTTTGTGCGAACATCCAAAGCAGCTGAAGAACACATTTGAAGCTTTTCAAAAACTGTTTTTGGAACTTGACGGGACAAAACTACTGAAAAAGGTACATGGCCTCAAAAATACACATCATCTGCATAAAGACTGATTTTTATGTTCTTAAACTTTTTGCCTTCAGTAACTGGTTTGGCTGATTTCTGCTGCTAGTGGTTAAATAAAACAGTGAGGGGGAGAGTGGGCATCCCTGGGCATCTCTCTGATGACAGAAGTCGGCTGATGTTTGGTCATTTGTCCTGACACATGCCGTTGGTCAACTGTATCATGTTTTTAAACAGTTTATGAAGGAAAAGATTATGAGTTTGCTTTCTACATGCAAACTACACTGGGTGGAGTGGATCTGAGGAGAGGAACAAATACACTATAAAATTAGCAATCTGGGAAAAGCAGGACACCTAGTGGTGTGGTCCAGAGGCTCTAGAAGGGGCTGTGAAAATCCAGTACATACATACATTTTTCATATACTCAGACTGTTGAGTCGTCCTTGCTGCCAGCTGGAATATGGCAGGATCCCCAATTCAATTCAAGTTTATTTATATAGTGCTAAATCACGACAAGAGTCGTCTCAAGGCACTTTACATAATAAACATTCCAATTCAGGACAGTTCATTAGGCCAATCAGAAATAATTTTTCCTATATAAGGAACCCAGCAAATTGCATCAAGTCACTGACAAGTGTCAGTGACTATACAGCAATCCTCAGACTAAGCAAGCATAAAGCGACAATGGAGAGGAAAACTCCCTTTTAACAGGAAGAAACCTCCAGAGAATCCCGGCTCAGTATAAGCAACCACCCTCCACGACTCACTGGGGATCGAGAAGACAGAGCACACACACACACACCCACGCACACCCACGCGCGCGCACACACACACACACACACACACACACACACACAAGGTAATGTGTCTATAGTTATATTGTGATGTCTTAGTAAATATTCTATTGGTGAAAGATAAACTTTATTGTATTTGTCCTAGTGGATCTATAATTAAACGGATAAACTAGTATTAGCACATCCAACGTCAAGGAAAGCAAAAAGTTATTATCAGGAGAGGTAGAATGTATTAGTGGTTAGCTGCAGTGTGCTAGTCGATGGCCCCCTCCATGAGGCCAACACAGCTCAGCAGAACGTCGTTGTAGCTTCTTCTGGGGAGAAAAACACTTAGAGAGAAAATAAAGTTAACAGCTGAAATTGCAGAAAATAGTAGAGTTAATGAGCAGACTGTAGAAGAAAGCAGTAGAGTGTGAAAAGTGGTCAGTGAATCCTCCAGCAATCTAAGCCTATAGCAGCATAACTACAGAGATAACTCTGGATAATCTATCCTATTTAGATGGAGGCATGTTGGAGTCAGAGCAAGGGAGAGCCGTCTTTACCGACTGTACACTCCACCTCCCTGTACTCCCCCACTTATCCAGATTTAGGCTAACATCAGATTTTAATCATAGGCCCTATCAAATAAAAATGTTTTAAGCCTATTCTTAAAAGTAGACAAAGTGTCTGCCTCACGGACTAAAGCTGGGAGCTAGTTCCACAGGAGAGGAGCCTGATAACTAAAAGATCTGCCTCCCATCCTAATTTTAGATATTCTGGGAACCACCAGTAGACCTGCAGTCTGAGAGCAAAGTGCTCGGTTAGGAACATATGGAACAATCAGATCACTGATGTATGATGGACCTTTATTTTTAAGAGCTTTATATGTGAGAAGAATGATCTTAAAATCTATTCTGAATTTAACAGGTAGCCAATGTAGGGAAGCTAAGACAGGAGAGATATGATCTCTCTTTTTAATTCTCATCAGAACTCTAGCTGCAGCATTTTGGACAAGCTGAATACTTTTAACTACATTCTGTGGACTTCCTGAGAGCAATGAATTACAGCAATCCAGTCTTGATGTAATAAATGCATGAACTAGTTTTTCAGCATCACTTCTGGAAAGGATGCTTCTAATCTTAGCAATATTCCAAAGGTGGAAAAAGGAAATCCTACAAACTTGTGAAACCTGGGATTTGAATGACATGTCCTGGTCAAAGATAACACCAAGGTCCCTTACTTTGTTCTCGGAGATTAATGTAATGCCATTCAGGTCAGGCGATTGGCTAAGCAATTTCCTTTTCTGGATTTCTGGTCCAAAGATGAGAACTTCCATCTTGTCTTGATTTAAAAGCAAGACGTTTAGAGTCATCCAACTTTTTATGTCCTCAGGACAAGCCTGTAATCTACCCAACCGATTAGGTTCATCAGGGTTAATGGATAAATATAGCTGAGTGTCGTCAGCATAACAGTGGAAGTTTATCCCATGCTGTCTAATGATTTTACCAATTGGGAGCATATATATAGTAAAAAGAATTGGTCCAAGCACTGAACCCTGTGGTACTCCGCAAGTAACCCTGGAGTATGAAGAAGATTTGTCATGTACATTTACAAAATGAAATCTGCCAGACAGGTAGGATTTAAACCAGCCTAACGCTGTTCCTTTGATCCCTACAACATGTTCAAGTCTTTCTAAAAGAACATTGTGATCAACTGTGTCAAAGGCAGCACTGAGATCTAACAAGACTAGAACAGACACAAGATTCTTATCTGAGGCCATGAGAACATCATTTGTAACTCTCACTAATGCAGTTTCAGTGCTGTGATACTCTCTAAAACCAGACTGAAATTCCTCAAACAGAGCATTAGTGTTTAAATGCTGACATACTTGGATGGCCACTATTTTCTCCAGGACTTTGGATAAAAATGGAAGGTTAGATATTCGTCTATAATTCATTGGGTCATCTGGATCCAGAGAAGGCTTCTTAAGTGAAGGTTTGATTACAGCAACCTTGAAATCTTGTGGTATATACCCATTTACTAAGGATAGATTGATTATATCTAGAATGGGGCAGTAACCAAAGGAAATGCATCTTTAAATAATTTGGTTGGGATTGGATCCAAAATGCAAGTTGAAGGTTTAGATGAAGCTAATATTTTTGATAACTCTGAAAGCTCAACTGGATCAAAAAGGTTCAAGCACAGATGAGGTTCTACAGTCACCTCTGAAGCTGCCTCACTTACTGAGGAAGAAGAAATCGCATTAGGGAGGATGCTAAAGATTTTGTTTCTAATAGAATTAATTTTACTTGTAAAAAATCCCATGAAGTCATTGCTGCTGAGGGCTAAGGGAATAGATGGCTCAGAGCTATGATTCTGTGTAAGTTTAGCAACTGTACTGAAAAGAAATTTAGGATTATGCTTATTCTCCTCAATTAGTGCTGAAAAATAAGCAGTTCTAGTTTGTCGAAGCTTATTTTTATAAAGCACAAGACTATTTTTCCAGGATAGGTAGGCCTCCTCATGGTGCGTAGAGCGCCATGTTCTCTCCAATTTCCTAGAGTTTTTTTTAAGGCTCGTAAATGAGAATTAAACCAGGGAGCCAACTTCCTGTCCCTAATTACCTTCTTTTTTAAAGGGGCTACATCATCTAATGCCACACGTAAAGAGGAATTAACATGATGAACTAAGGCATCTATTTGTGAGGGGCTAGAACCGAAAACACTGCCCTCTGCTACGCCCCTCCAAGGTGCTGAGGACAGTAAAGATGGAACAGTTTATTTAAAAGATGCAACAGCGTTGTCAGATAGAGACCGGCTATAGTGAAATTTACTTTCATGTCTCGAGAACTCAGTTATAAAAAACTCAAAGGTTATCAGAAAGTGGTCCGAGAGGACTGGATTATGTGGAAAGATTGTTATTTCCTCACACTCTATGCCATAAGTCAGCACAAGGTCCAATGTATGATGGCAGGAGTGGGTGGAGCTATGTATTCTTTGAGTAAAACCAATTGAGTCTAAGATATTACTAAAGGCTACATTAAGGCTATCATTTTTAATGTCCACATGAATATTAAAATCCCCCACTACAATGACCTTATCAGTATTTAGCACCAAATCAGATAAGACAATCAGAGATCTGATCCAAAAACTCAGAGTAAGGGCCTGGTGGACGATATAAAACTACAAACAAGAGTGGTTTTACAGTTTTGTAATCTGGATTAGGAAAACTAAGAATAAGATGTTCAAACGAACTGTAGCTATTAATCTGTAAGGGACTGATTAATAAGTCCGAATGAAAAATGGTTGCCACTCCTCCTCCTCACCCTGTACTTCGAGCAATATGATGATTTAAATAATTTGAAGGAGTCGACTCATTTAAGCTAACAAAGTCCTCTTGCTGCAGCCAGGATTCGGTGAGAGAGAGCAAAGAGATCTGATTATCGCAAATCAAGTCATTAACTAACAAAGTCTTAGAAAAAATTGATCTAATGTTCAACAACCCACATTTAATTTTTCTAGGTTTCTGCTCAGTTGAATTTGTTCTAATATTTATGAGATTTCCATGGTTTGCTTTATTAAGCCTGATATTTAATCTGCGTGATTTTGGCCGTGGGCAGGACACTGTCTCTATGGGGTAGTGGGTGGGTAACAGTACAGAAGCTGCAGAGGGGTGGGTTAAACTACGACTCTGCTTCCTGGTCTGGACCCTGGGTTGTCATGGAGGACTAATAAAACTGGCCATGTTCCTAGAAAGAAGAGCTGCCCCATCCAAAGAGGGATGGATGCCGTCTCTCCGCATCAGACCAGGTTTTCCCCAAAACGTTTTCCAATTATCAATGTAGCCCACGTTGTTTTCAGGACACCACCTAGACAGCCAGTGGTTGAAGGACAGCATGCGGCTAAACATGTCATCACTGGTCCGATCAGGCAGGGGGCCAGAGAAAATTACTGAGTCCGACATTGTTTTGGCAAACTTACACTCTGAAGCAACATTAATTTTAGTGACCTCAGATTGGCGTAACCGGGTGTTGTTACCGCCAGCGTGAATAACAATCTTACTATATTTACGCTTATCCTTAGCCAGCAGTTTCAGATAAGATTTAATGTTGCCCGCTCTGGCCCCAGGTAAACATTTAACTATGGTTGCTGGAGTCTCTAATGCCACGTTTCTGACTATGGAGCTGCCAATGATCAGAGTCGGCTTGTCAGTGGGTGCGTCACTGAGCGGGGAAAATCTATTAGAAACGTGGACGGGTTGGTGGTGGCCCACGGGCTGGGTTCTATGCTTCCTGCGTACCGTCACCCAGCCGGCCTGAGGTCCCCAGAGAAAATGAACCTTGAAATAATTATTCCTCAAAAACGGAGGAGGAGGCAAGCTCCTGGAAAGCTGGTTTTAACAGAAGATGCTCTGGTGAGGGCCATGACTTTGGGGTATGGCATTCACTGTCAGTGAAATATCCAAAAATACCTTTGCGGTGGGGTTGTTTGTGGACACTGCTGGTAGCTCTGTACAGGAAGGGCCAACACTTCCCCCACCTCTTGAGGAGACTGAGGTCCATCGGAGTTCATTCCCAGCTGCTGAAATTATTTTATAACTCTGTTGTTGGCTCTGTTATCCACTCTGTTGTGGTCTGTTGGGGTGCAGGTAGCTCTGACAGAGACTGGAAGAGACTGAACAATAGGGATGATCGAGTACACCACTATCTGTATCTGTTCCTGTTCAACCAACAAAATTATCTGTATCTGTATCTGTACTCGGAATGGGCGTGGCTTAACCCGGCAGAAGGCGTGGTTTAACCAGAAGTGGGTGTGGTTTACATCAATATATTATTTTAAGTCTGAAATTGATATGGAATGATCAGAAGTTGATATGTGTATTGTTTATTTGAAAACTATTTACAGAGCAGCCTCAGAATTTAGATTAAATATTTTTGATCACAATAGTAAAGGAACTATTTCAGAACAAGTGTTTCAATAAAATCAGAACATTAATTTTTAAGTGCATGGATTAATACATCTGAACTCATGCAGTAGGAACTAGGAAATATGAAATGCTAGAACCAGCCACAACTTTATGTATATTTTTTTATTTTAATTTGATTAAACTGATTTTTTTCTTAACGTTCTTGGCATTTTGCCACACAAAGTTAAACAAAACAATGTTGATTAAGGTGTGTGTGTCTGAGAGAGAGAGGGTGAGAGGGAGAGAGATGGAGTTAAAAAAAAAAAAAACCTGACCGGAGCAGAGGTAGTGAGTGACTGATGCAGCATGTCAGCTCTGTCTTGTTAAATGCACCATGTAAGTTACGAAAAAAGTAACTTTAAATATTCAACCGAAAAAGAGGCGAGCTGAAGAAAACCTAGGGAAAACTGAAGAAACGTGAGCAACAGTGAAGCAATCACAGCGAGATCTGTTACTATGTGTGTGTGTGTGTGTGTGTGTGGATGAACAGGACGGACTGAGCTCCCGGCCGGCTAGAGAGTTTTGTGTGTAGGGAGGGGCGGGCGCTCTATGTGACTGGCCAATCACAGAGCGTGAAGACAGTCAGTTACCCAATGAGGATTTTCCTTCAGCACGATTACAGATATTTACAAGGTTTACTCGTTTCATGCTCGTCTTCGTCAAAAATGCTTTATCCGTACCGGATACTAGTCTGAAACGAGTATCCGGCTCATCCCTACTGAACAAGCTAGTTCACAAAGCTAACTCAGTTCTGAGCTGCTCACTGGCTTCAGTTGGGGAGATGTGTGAAAGGAAGATGCTGGGGACGATGACCACCATCTTAAAAAAAACCTCCCACCCACTCCATTCCACTGTGGAGACCATGGACAGCTCCTTCAGAGGCAGACTGAGACATCCCAGATGTAAAACAGAACTTTACCGTAGATCTTTCATCCCCTCGGCTGTAGGAGTGTAGAACTCCTCAGTTTAAGCTGTACTGGCATTATCCTGGTATACAATAACACAAATGCAATAGTATGTATGTGTTCAATACCTGTGCTATACCAGATTTCCATAGTCTGTCTGTGTCTCTTACAATTTGCTGCATAGTGTTGGAATCCAAGTTTTTCATTTCTTATTTGTGTTTTTTTTTTTTTTGCGGTAAAAGGTTACAATTCTAGACTACTGCCTATGTGTTCATACATGTACTTTTATTATTATTGTTCTTCATATTATTCTCTTTAAGTGTTGGTTTTGCTGTAACAAGTGAATCTCCCCACTGTGGGACCAAGAAAGTCTACTCTATTCCATTCTGTTCTCTGTTATTCATTCAAGCAATATTGGTGTTTTTCTGATGTTCTCAATCAGATTAACCCAAACTAATATGATGGGTATAATCTATAATATAAGAAAGTAAATCAGATACTTTACAGATGTAACCAACTAATGTCATTCTTCTATAACATATCCCTGATGCCCTCATCCAATGTGAGGATTTTCAGAAAAACAATTTTCAGTTGTGGGAATAATTCAGGTTATTTAATATGGAAACTGTTACATTCAAGAATTTTACAACCCTTCTTAGTAAAAAGTATATTTCCTCTTGAACGATGACCTGAAAGTTATTGTGTGCACTTTAACAGTTTGATAGTTCTACAATGACTGAAAAGATTTGAAAGGTGACATTTGAGAGAGCTGTTTTGCTGAACCCGGGCCTGAAATTTGGATTTTAATAGTTGATAAAGAACAAAACAAAGAAAAATTTAAATTGAAGATTTTTTTACAACAAGTTACAGGGATTTTGAGCGAGTCAGCTCTTAGAATTTGGCCATGAGAAGCACACTAAAAAATAATAAGCACTTTTTATTCTCACTCTGCTGAATAGACAAGTACTGACCTTGAGTACTATTCTGAAAAGGAGGTTTGATTCTAATCATTTTAGATGTTTTAAAATAAAAATTGTTTTTATTCAGCGCAGAAAACAGCCGAAGTGCCAGGGCTCTCTGCATGCTGTTTAGAGTCTTGTGACTTATTTAGAGTACATTTTGATATAATAGTTTTTGTTAATGGAGAACCAATATTATGTAGTCAGATAGTATGCATGCAGTAAATTTATGCAGCTATTAAAAAAAACATTTTCTTTCACTCAATAAAAAAAGAAAAGTAATGTCCAATCACATTGAACTATGTCTAGTACAGCGTCAGATCCACAATCGTTTGTGATAAGATGCACCTGATCTTTTAAATCATTTTAACAGTAACAATGCTTCAATATAAAAATCTTATATGAATAAAATGCCTAATTAGTCACCTTTGCCTTTACTGTGAGGTAGAACTCATGAAAATGATTGCATATCCAAGAAAGAACAACACAAATGTTCAAATGTTTTAGAATGCCCTGTAATATTCTCTTGTCTATCCAAGAATCAGACCGTCAAAGCCTCTGCCCTCTGTAACCAACCAATGCACAATACACCTGACCCCTTTCCAATGTGCCACAACTCTGGGTCTGGCTCCAGAAGGGGACCCTGCTGACCCACGTCTGAGCAAGGGAACACTGTTGTAACTGCAGTTGCTGTTTATTTCTTCATTTATTTATTTTCCCATTTGTAAGACACTGGGTTGGTTGTGTTTCCTGTAATTTTATTTTGAAAAGCTACATGAGCTGCTCTGCCAGCCGCACCCTTGATTTGATGGTACAAGCCAGGTGTGAGGAACACACACAGCCTGGATGAAGTGCTGACAAGCAAGCAGCTAATGGACTGAAAACATTCAATCTTTTGCTAAAGAACTAACTAGCAAAAGGACTTAAAGGAAACTAGTAAAAGGACTTAAAGGAAGACAGATGGATTCCCTTTGTGTTTTAAGCAAAACAGCCAACGAGGTATTTATTTGTCTTTATTTTATTGCACATTATTGTATATGTTTTAATTGTACTATCCTGTATTTAGTTTCACGGTTTAAGGGAGGTCTAAGAAAGGAGGACAGAAGAGGTCCACAAAGAAACGACGTCCAATAAACCCGTAAAAGAAATCACTTGCGTCTGTGTTGCTTGGAGGGAATCACAGTGAAACTCGCCTGTTATCAGCAAACGCCAGTGAAGCAACAAGGACCAGATGATCTTCATCTTTTGGACAACAGTGCATGGACTGGCAGATAAGTGGCCTATTCACACATAAGTAAAGAAGCCAATAAAGACTTTTGGTGGAAGACTCTTTTGCATCGAGAAACTTGGTTGATGAAAAGATTACTGATTCAAATTGATGTTACCAGTGATTTGTTGAGTACATATTGAACTGAAACTTGCTTTAATGTTGCATGTTATCCAAAGGTCAAAAGAAAATGTAATTGTTACATATTTAATACTTGAAAGGTCAAGGTGTTTCAGTAGAGTGTAACAATTGAGTTCCACATTGGATGTTTGAAATTCTAAGCAAGTTTATTTCATTCTTAAAATCAACATTTCCTAGCTAGACAATTGTTCAGCCATGTCAGAAAGAAATGAGCCTGCAGAAGAGGAGGAAGATAGTGCAGAGCCACTGCGAGAGGAAGAGCAGCTGCTCAGACGTGGGGCACGCCAACATACTCTAACAGAGAAGGGCAAGGCACTACAAGAAGAGAAAATTAAAGCTCTTACACAAAGATTCAACTACATTCACAAAAAATGGAAAGCACATGTTAAATTCTTTAAACATTTGTCAAAAGAGTCCTCAGAGCCTTTGTCAGAGGGTCTACTTAATGATATCTTGGGGGAGGTTAAAGGGCTTTGTGCAGATATCCAGCGTGTTTATGAAGATCTGCGCAAACTCTCAACTCCAGATCAAGAAACACGGAGAAGAGTAGATTTGTGTGTGGAGATTTCAAACTTCATCCTTTCTAAAGCTTCACGTCACCTGGAAGGACAAGCGCAGGAAGAGGATCAGGTTTGGCCAGAAGCTGGCTCTTTTTGGAGCACAAGTAAAAGTGAAACAGAATCCATCACCACCATCATCAAGAGCGCCACCTCTGAGCATTCAAAAACTTCTTCAGCAAAGAGGCAAGAAGCGGCTGCGGATGCTGCAGCAAGCCAAGCTGTTCTAAAAGTGTTAAAGAAACAAGAAAGAGAACAATTGGAATTACAGCGCCTGGAAGCAGAAGCTAAGAAGAGGATAGCAGCTCAAGAGGCAGCAGCTAAACAGCGGCGCTTAGAGCAAGAGGAAGAAGAGGTGAGGAGGAGAAAAAAGAAAGAAGAAGAAGAAGCTAAAATGACAGCTGAATTAGAAGAACATGCAGCTCTAAAAATGGCTCTAGAAGAGAAACGAAGGAGAATCAACCATCTAGAAACCATGAAAGAGCTCAGCGCTGCACAGGCAAGAATGCAGGTATACGATCAAGGATCTGACATTAAGAAAGGGGTCAAGCGACCTATAAGCCATAAGATGGCAGTACATGTTAAACCATCAAGTCAAACAAGCTGTCAACAATCATCTATACCCCTTGT